GTTCTATCGAATGAATACTTACCCGTTGCCAAACAGCAAACAAATCGTTGTAAAATAAAAGAAATTATAAAAACGCTATGAACTTATTCCCCAACCTAATATTTTACCTATAGGCACAAACTTTTTTTATCGCTTGCAGTAAAACTCACTGAAAGGCCACAGTAGGCTTGTTTCTACGCGGAAGTGTCTGCACTTTCCGGGGTCGTAATTTATTTTGATGATACCGTGGCTGTTGATAGTTGTCAAATTTTACACGCGTCTCGCACGGCCATGAATTATGCATAAACCGTGGAGGGTTCTGTGCCGGCTCGTGGGGTAATTGTCGATGAAAACAGCGGCGTGCGCGATGCTAAAGGATTTGATAACGCATGACGAATTCACGGCGAGTTAGGCGAGGTGACTCGTGCCGAATCGCTGACGCTATCATCCGACGATACCTGTAACGAGATTATTCATCACGTTCACCCAAGGTTACCCCGGCTCTGTTTGGTTCTAATCAATACCGCGGGTTAAAACTCGTAATATGCATATTGAAGAGTTTCTTTTACAAGTAACAACGTAAGAGATAAAAGGTTCAATTGCCGCGTCGTTTAATTTGTTTTTACAACTCTATCGTCGAAGTCGTTATCGTTGCAATTTAACTTTGGAATTCGAACCGATTACGCAAAGAACAGAATTCTTTACAGTGCAGGCATGTAATTTCCTCTCCAAAATTAGTCTAAAGTATTTAATAAAATTTGCGCGAACGCGGAGTTCCGTGCCCGGTTTTGTTAGCCTGGTTGCATTTACGTCCGCACGAATACGTTTTATGCACTCGTTTACCAGGGAAATTGTGTCACCGGCTGAAACGTAGACGTCTGCCGAACGGACAAAAGACACTCGCTGGTTTTGGAGCGCGCGCAAAGTGCAAAGCGATGCATACGACCGTGCGTGTCCCCGGCGACTCGCTAAAAACGAATTTGTTCTCGCGAACGCGGACTTATCCCAAAAGAAAGTAGGCACTTTAAAGCGTAATGTGAAAGACGTTCCGTGCCGTGAAATTGTTATCCGCTGTTGGAAAGCGCCCGCGTAATGCCGTGACGCAAGCTCCTTTCCGTTTTGTAGATGTAAATGGCAATATTACATGTAAACGACGTTTTAAAATAATGTCGCGCTTAAAACCCTCTCGAAGAGTTTGTAAAAAAAGAAACCAACGGACCTTGAATACTCTTTCGCGATCTCAGTGATATGCAAATGGCGTGCAAATTTTCTAAAGGACGCTGAAAAGTCCCGTCGCAGTTCGCCGCGGAGGTAACGCGCTTTCGCGAGAGCTTTTTTAAATCTCCGGTGGTCACGATCCAATTAATTAACATTCACCTTGTTGTCCTCGCGTTTCCCGATTCGACGCCTCCCCCGCGGACCGTGCCAAGGAAGTCGAGCGGGGTGGAAGCCGGCGAGTCAAGAAAGACAGGAGAACCGAGCAAAAAGAGGTGGTCCTTCTTCCGCAATTTAGTAAATTGGAACATTCCACTTCTCTCCTCGCGCGAGTTGGTTTATCAGACATACCCGAATATCGCCCCTCCTTATTAGAACGCGTTTAAAGCCGAGTCAGCCTTGCCCTGTCGTCCTATCTCCAATGAAATTAACTCGATGCGCCTTCGTTCCGCTTCTCCGATCTAATAAACGCGCTGATTGTACATTCAGACACGGAAAGCAATTTTCTTGCTTGTCAGCCCGCCCGATGCAATTATAGATCATCGATTAATGGAAATGTATTTCTTCTCAATCGCGGTCCCGTCCAATTCGTTTCTGCCTCGGACGTTGATACCACAGACGTTTTGCCAACTTTATTTCTAACCGGAGGCCATTAGTCGGCTCGATGAAAGTCTGCGAGACCGTTGCCACCAATTTGGGTTAAGTCGACAGGGAATTGCCATTAAAGGGTCCCTGGAGTTAAGATGTATCGAATATAATTGCACGGTTTTCTTGGGGCTGCTCGAAATCTTTCGTCTTGCTTGATTTCACGTCATTTTGGTTTCTTCTTATGACAACAAACATCGCTGGGCTTTACCATTTTCAGAATAATACTCTCAGAATTGTAGATCTAGCCTAGAAGATACCTTTTGTATATTTAATATGTTTTACATGAATAATGAAAAGGTCTTTTTCACGTAATTAAAACAGGAAAATTGCTGGTCGTTACTCCTTGATAATGGAATCTTTTCAGAAACATCTGTACAGAGTACATCCAGTCTTTGAGGTACTTTTGATTATCCAAAATTGTAATACGTACGTCGTGTACGATGAAAAAAGCTGACCTAGAAAAGGCGAGTAACACATCGTTCGCGGCGCACTTTCTAAAACGTCCTCTTTTGCAACACATTTTTACCGCGGTACTCTAACAAGGGAACAGAAGGAGCGTTTTTACTGTTTACTCCGCGATTGCTACAATTAATGGAACAGCACATTTCTCGGACGAATTACTTTTTCAACAAAAAACTAAGGAAACTCTCCGAAATTGTAGCAGGCGGAGCGTAGCATCGGAGAAATAAGAGAAATTGTAATAGGAATATCGAAGAGAAAAATCACCCATTAATTTTTTGTTAAATCGACCATTACGACGTTTCGCGTTGGCAAAAATAACAAAAGTTCCTTCAGAAATTATCTGTCTAGAATCGCACGGTTTAACACTA